GGAGGAGGAGAAGAAGAGGACGAGGAGGAGGAGGAGGAGGAGAAGAAGAAGAGGACGAGGAGGAGGAGGAGGAGGAGGAGGAGGAGAAGAGGACGAGGAGGAGGAGAAGAAAGAAGAGAAGAAGAGAGCAGAAGAAAGAAGAGAAGAGGAAGAGGAAGAGAGCAGAAGAAAGAAGAGAAGAGGAAGAGGAAGAGAGCAGAAGAAAGAAGAGAAGAGAGAAGAAGAAAGAGGAGAAGAAGAGAGAAGAAAGAGAAGAAGAAAGGAGAAGGAGAAAACAAAAAGAAGAAAAGAAGAGAAAAAGAAAAGGAGGAGAAGATGAATTAAAATAAAAACCAAATATGATGATAACTGTATTGTGTATTTACTCAAACGTATGCCAAGTTGTTTTCCTAATTATTTTATTTGAAAAATACAGGGTCATCTTATATTCGCAGATGAAGCCTTAGAAATGTATGTTCTGACTAGGGAGCAAATTTTAATGAAATGTCATTTTTTCCTTTTCACTTTAGAACAATGTTGTTTAGTATACAAATTCGTTTTATGTTATGACAATATGAAATGACAAATATGTCTTTTCACAATTTCGAATAGCAAGTCATTTTTAATGCATTTTTTGCTGATTTCATCGATTTTAATATTATTTAACTTGCTTCAAACAATATTTACAAGGTTTCTTTATTTTAGGGGCATTTTTAAAGCATTTTAAGAGCATTTTATTGATCATTTTGGCAAAGTTTTAGGTGATGAAAATCCGCCCCCTAGTTATAACTTTAGCCCTAGATTTACCAAGTGATTCAGACCAAATTTTTGAAGAAGCCCATAAAGAGAGAATCTCAAAAATTGGGCATTTTACTACATGAAACACAATGTCAAAATCAATAAAAGTGTTTCTGAGATTCTGTTAAATGATGTGTTTGTTACACAAACAACAAGGTTACGTGGCCTCTCAGTTCGATGCTCAACAAGAGTGAATCTGCATTTTGTTCGAGAAATTTAAAAAATGAAATGGATGTAGAAAGGTGAAATTTTTCCAACAAAAGTGATGAAATAATTTTCAAAAATGTTTTAGTTGTTCACAGTTCACAACTTGATCACACCAAATATATAATATGAATTTCAAGATGATGTTTATTAAAGAATCAGGTTCCAAAAAACAGCATAATAGGAATAACATCTGGCAACAGAAAAAAATTTTTTTAGATGGTGTCAGATGAAAGACACAAATGAAATGATCAAAACTCTGAGAAGCCTAAAAGTTAGGTCAACCTACTATGGGGGAGGACTTGTAAGAGAGAAACAATGAAATATTTGAAGATGAAGATGGTAGTTGACAGAAAAAAGTTGATGATTATTTTTGTAAGAAATAAAATAATACCAATGGTTCAGGCAAAAATAATAAAACGTACCTTAAGTCAATTTTCTGATCAATATGACAATTTTAATTTTATCTCGAGTGAATAGTAAGAATGTTAAAAATATAAAAAAATTCTCCGGAGGCCTTTTCAAAATTAGGAGAGCATCTTATATTCAGGTAAATATAGTAAACCTTATAAGACTGACTTGACAGAATGTCCCAGGAACGTAATTCATGATTATTGCTATATCTCATGCCCTATCACTGTTGTCTGTTCATCTTTCGTCAGAAGAGCCCAGAAGTGTGGTAAAATGCTGTTTTTTTACAATTACATGACTTTTAACTATAGGAATCACTTAATTGTACTTCTGGAGTTGTATCATAGATTTTTATTTTGCCTTTTGTGTGCATATTTTAGCCATTTGAGCTTATAATGCCTGTATTGGGTAGTTTTCGTCATTATTTTCCTTGTTTTCTCCTGGCACTGATCTCGATCAAGTCTGAGCCTGAACACATGCCTGAGCACATGCCTGAACACATGAAGGCACGGCCATGTTCAGTCTTTCTGAGAAAGCAGAAGCTCCAGGATCAGGTAGTGTTCAAAATCTACATGAGAAAAGAAGATACAATTCGAGATTTTTGATTTTTCACATTGATGCTGTCTGGCTTTGTTGAGTCTCGAGGAATTCCTTCCTACATTTCAGTATGACCTCCGATCCCTTTTCAAGACAGAGCTCTAGGTGTATGATGCACCCTTGTCAAAAACTACAATTCCATTTTGAGTGATGCCATTTCAAGATTCAAACAGTCCCCAATAGCATTTCATACAGACAGCATCGAAAGTCCAACAAATTCATACTCATTGTACAGAATGATAATCAGGGCCCTATAACTCCCATATAACGTGGTGGAGACCAATACAGTGGCGCGCTCTGCTGCATCACCTTCTTTACAGGAACTAAAACAGGAATTGCTGCCAACGATACTTTAAATGTGCGTGGCTGCTGCGTGAGTTCGCGGGTCGCAAGCAGAACCATAATGTTACAAAAGATAACGTCTGCGTTCGCGATTTCTTCAGAGGATTCTTACAAGAAGAAATTATGAATAATTGTACATTTAGAAGACACTTTCGTATTTCTCATAAATTAGCCAATTTGAATGTGGGAAAATTGGCGAGCCAAACCTGCAGCTGCACCCGGCGACACTGGCGCTTCCTATAGTAGCAACCTCGAGCTTTATCCCCGATTTTGATGGAGAGTTGCCAGGCCCTGATGGTAATGTACAATCAAGATTACAAAGAAATTATAGTTTCCTTCCACGCAAGTGCTGAATTAAATTTTAGAGTTAAAATAAAAACCAGAATCATTTTAATTATTAATTTTTAACAGTAATTCCTTCAAATGATGATTTTTCATTGTTTAAATGATTTTTTGCACCTCTACTTTGGTCAGAATAAATGCCTTTTTTGCGTTCCTATTTTAGTAAAAATAAATGCCTGAACTTCCGGGCTCTACTTATCAGCAACAATTGAGAACTGAAAGTGGCAGATGATATTTTGTTATACAGGAAGTTTGCCCCTACTCACAATGAACAATTTGTTTCTACACAAATTACAGAGCATGTGCTTGCTCAGTGTGAATGTGCACTTATGTGTGTGACCTGTAACAAAATAACTAACGGTATCTTATGAATCCCTTTTCCACTAACATATCACAATAATTCAACATTTTGAACTGTCTTTCTTACTTGCAGCTTCCAGTGCAACAAGTGCCTGGTCATGCAAGTTAAAATGGCACACCCTGTCAGTGGGTTAGAGTGTGACAATGTAGAATGACAGTCTTTGACATTCCTGATAGGTGTTTATATTCACTCTTCAGCTTTTTAAATAAAAGACAGAAATAACATGATAATTTTTTGGTTATGAGTACAAATTTCATGAAAGCATTACCTCCATATCTCCCCAATTCTCAGTATCCCAGGTCTCATCATAATCTGACACAGAATCAGCACCTTTACTCTCTTCTTGTTCCAAAGATGTCATAGATGTCACACTAGATGTTGTTGTAGAAATACTACTACTAGATGGTTGCTCTGAAATAATAAAAATTGAAGATTGATTACATGCCTTTTATCCTTAATACTAAATATAATTTTTGTATCACAGTTTTAAACATATTGTTTAACACAACGACAAAGTCACTGTCAGTTCTCAAATGAAGAAAGTCATTCATTATTCTTAGCAATGAAACAGTTCTTTCCATTTCCTTTAATTTTATTTTTCTCTTTTATGGAATCTAAAAGAAATTCTGAGCCAAAAACTGATAGATTTAAGTTTTACAATAAATAAACTAATAATATTTTACTGTCCATAATATGAAAATTGTGATCGGAGTGAACAAATAATGAAGGGAAGAATAAACGTTCAATAACACTCAAAATTACACTAGAAGTGATCCACATGAATTTATGTAACCAATAAAATGGAAACTAGAGGTACCACACTTTCTCACTCATATGATTGGTCAAGTTATGCAATATTGCACCTTTTATCCCACTAACACTTCCATCTTTACTTAATACTTTACTTTAATAATTTCAAAAAATGTTTGCAAGAAAAATGTAAACATCTCATATTTAGGAATAGATTTATAAAAAAATCTCTAGCTTTAATATTACAGGTAAATGACAGATTAAAAAAAAAATTGTTGCATCTTTTTCACAGGTCTCTTAACTCTTTTCGGGCATTGAGCATGTAAACCTCCATTAAGTCTTTGCCTTTTTTCTCATCTCGTCAGTCAATGCTTTTTATCCCATTGGCCAGGGGCTCAGCACCATTAGTAACTGAGTTCCTCAAACAGTCACTCACCCAGGAACCCATGGGGTCAAGTTGCTTAACTTCCATGACTTCCTGGAGCCTAGTGAAGCAAGTCAGCTAACATCACTGGCAAAACTACAATATTGATATAAGATTTTTTCCTTAATAGAATTGGTCTAAAAAAAAATCTTTAATTATTTTTACAACAGTTTTTGAAAATGAAAGTACATACTTTTACAGAAGTTTCGCTTGAAAAAAAAAAAAAGTAATTAAGAATAATATATTCTTGAAATTGGTTGCAAATTGTTTCTTTATTTTTTTCTCAAATAGAGAAAAGTGTAGGTTTCAACATCAGCAATTAACAAAATTCAAATTAATTCAACAATTAACAAAATTTGTAAAGAAAACATATACCATATTATTAAGCAAACATAACTTTAATTAAGCAAAGAATTTAAAGAAAGTATGAAAATTTATAAATATCACTTCCTTCCCACCTCCAACTCTAGTTCTAGATACGGTGAAACACTGTTTATGTTTCTCATTTATACGATTTTTAAGTTCATGCATTTTTCTTTTTGTAGGTCCTGGAAAAATTCTTATAAAACCCATACTAAATTATTTTAGTTATGGCTTTTATGTTTATACATTTTTCACACATATGTTTAGAATAAATTGCTCCAGGAATTTAACCACATTGTTTTGAAGATGAATATCATTCTCAGTGGTCTGCCAGTGGGATTGCCAGAAATCAATAAGGTTATCAAAATATGTGTATAAAAATTCAATCGATAGGTTATAAAAACTTTTTGTTTGGTTATGTTGTATATATACAGGCACTAGTTTGTAACCCAAGTTTTCGACATCAGGCAGTGCTAACTTTGGAAGGTCCAAAAAAAACTTGCCTTTTTATTATTTTTTGCCTCTATAGTAGAAAAATCATTTGCATAAAATATTTGCTAAAATTTCCTTCAACTTTCGTGTGTATTTTTTTTTCAAAATTAATTACCCTTTAAGACCGTATAACGTTCAAATGATCCCTGGGCGACCTGCGCAGAGAGCCCGAAACTTGTGTCACTCTAGTCGGCACGCTCCAGAGCGCTTCCGTCTCTCAGGTGACTTCTCGCTGAAATGAAACTTGTAATATAGAAGCACAACTCGGGCTAGCTGAGGCGCCAAAACGCGAGCCCGAGGAGTGGTAGCGCAAAGTCGGCTCCCGGGCCACCTCCGGCAGTGGAACTTTCTGAGTCGGGTGCGTACGGGAACTTTTGAAGATCTCAGATGACGAGTAGCTCCGAGGGAAGGTCAGAGGAGTAACGACGTACATGACCAATAAGTGAAGTTTGAGCACAGACTGTCCCACACTTCGAAGGCCTTTTGCTCGCCGTAATGTCATACGAGATCCTTTCGGTTGCGGCATGGCACAAGCAGCTAACGAAACTGATCGCGTTTCCGCGCGGCGCAGCGGGTATCGCCAAGCTGTGGGGCTGTGGCAGTCCTGCGCTTCCTGTCGCCCACATACAACACCATACTTTGACAGACACTGTGCTTTGACCCACAATCTCAAGTAACAACAAGCTTGAAACCGAAGCAAGCTGCCGTGGGTCGCCGCCGCCAGTTGTAGCCCACGCAGGACACGGCCTTCGTTTCCGCAGTGAAACTCGCATAAAGTCATCAGTAAGGTCTGCATTGCGTGTCCGCTACCTCCACTTCAGGGGGAACTTCTTCGATGAAGCTGACCGGACATGTAATTTGTGGCTCTGAGGCTCAGTGCTTAAATCGAACAATGTTTCGTCTTCTATCTGGTTTTGCGCCCGATATTAAATGAAAAAGAGTGATAGGAAAAGGCAATCCCTTCAATATCTAATAAAATAAAACTTGTTAGGGAGAGTGCCAATAAAAAGGTTGATATTTCCAAATAACTTGGAAAATGATGAGTGTAAAAATATTGAGTTTCTATTTTGCTCATAATGATCAATTTTAGTAAAAGAAAAGCGTAGTTTTTGTGCTCATATTTGAGAAGCAAAAAAATAATTCGCTTTTTAAAAAGCTATAGTTTGCTTGGTAATTAATTTAGAAATAAATTATATACAAAAGGTTAAGGAAATTTTAGCCTCTTTATAATTTATTCAAATGATTTTTCTACTATTGAGGAAAAAAATAACAAAAAAGTCAAGTGTTTTTGGGGCCTTCCAAAGTTAGCATGGCCTGAGAGGTCGATAACTTTGGGTATGAACTAGTGATTGGATATATACAACATAACCAAACAAAACATTTTTATAACCTATCGATTGTATTTTTATACACATATTTTGATAACCTTATTGATTTCTAGCGATCCCACTAACAGACCACTTAAAACTATTTTCATCATCAGAACAATGTGGACATCAGAACATCATCATCACAATACCTGGAGAAATTTTAGACTTGTCAAAAGAATTCTAACAAATTTCTGAGAATAAAGGGTATTACAGTTTCAGGGAATACGACTCCGCTTCAGCTTGCAGAATATAAAAAACTACATTTATTGGTATTTTTTGGTATGTGGAATTTATTGGTATTTTTGATTATGTGTGGAAAGACAGATTGGAGAAATGAGGTGGGGGAGGCTGATGGTGATAAACTGAAATTATAATTATTTTACACTGAACTTTTCTGGCTTTCAACATATGATTGCACCTATTGATCATATAGGCATTGATGTTAAATTCAGTAACTCCTATCTAATTATAATTTCTGATTACATTCAAATTTATGTTTTAAGGAGTGGGGGTCTCAAGCTTTCAAATTTTACAACAGAAGAATCTATTACATGGTGAGACTTAAAAATTTTAGAAAAAATTTAAGGTTTGTAATTGTATTATAATTAATATTGGTATTATACATATATGGTCTTCACAATAATCTAATGCTGAAAGAATAAATAAATATATTATTTATACATACTTATATTCCCTGATTGATCTGCACGAATTGCTGCTACTTGAAATCAAATTTTAATTTTTGGGGGTATTTTATGAAATCCTGAAAACATTTTCAAAATTTTCTCAAAAATCAGTGTGTTTTTTTCCCCCCTCACAGAAAGCCACGTTTGCTTGTTAACTAGCGGTGCTAAAATAGCACGTACTTTCCAACCCTTAGTAACAGTTATGTAATACTATTTATACTGCAATTTCTCTCCAAATTAACACATCTTAGTCATAATTTTTTGTAAAACTCCTTACAAATTATAGGTCATTAGGTGCAAAAACTAAATCTTTTCATGCAAATATCAACACAAAATTGACAATTATAATTCTGTTTCATACAGCTTAATCATGTCCCAATCATGAGACGTACTTCAGAGAAATACAGCTGCTGCCTTGCGGCCCGAAATCCCATTGTTGCATTCCAATCTGTATTTCTGGAAGGCTGGCAATTTTTCTTTAATATTACATTTAAATAGTATTTTTAAGAGAGAAAACCTAATTGAGCTAATTTCAATTAAGATTTTCAGATTGCTTGAAAGAAAATACATTAATACATTGAGAATGCAAATACATTCCAAGCAACACAGACAAAAAAAATATGGATTATCAAATAGGTTTTAAGGAATTTCTAAAAGATTAATTTGTAAACGTATAACAAAAGCTTGCATGTAGGAAACAAACAAAAAGATATGAAATAATATACAAATTCTAACTCGTGTAGTAACCAACTGCTTCCAAACACTCTCTAATTACATTCATAAAGGTCAGAAAATTTGAACTGCAACTATGTTTGATGCAAAAATACTCAAATGTTTCAAATTTCAATGTGACCTATTTTGAATATCTGTTTTTGATGCACATTTCATTTACAAAATTTGTATCTTCAAATATGTAGTAGTAGTAGAAAGACATCAAAAAAAAAATATTGAAATTCTTGAAAAATCAGGGTTCAAAACGAAAATGAAACCTAGCTCAGCCTTCACACTACCCAACAATAAAATTTAATAGAAAACAATGGGCTTTATCTAAAGTGCACCCCCGAATTAAAGATTGGTTTCAAATTCAAGGAGTCGTGATAACTGCCAGATTGATTGGGGTATATAATTTTTGAAGAAAATCGGTTGAACAGTTTAGCTGCTAGCATTATTCACAGACAGACAAACGTTTTGCCATCAATTGATTTTTCAGTATCAAGGTCCCACAAAACATAGACTCTGGCTACACCACATGTTAAAGAATTGCCCCCCCCAAATTTAGCAACTGGATTTAACGATTTTTTTGTTACTAAAGTCTGACAATAAAGAGTTTTTCTGCCCAAAATTAGCTGCTTTTTCTCGCAGCATTACATAACTTTCTCTCTACTGTGTAAGCAGTAGCAAGAAAGTAAAATGACAACAAGTGCAATTTTCAGTAAAATCACTGAAATTTTGAAAAAATCAGAAGTTTAATTTTTTTGAAGTCTCCCCTCCTTTAACTGCATAATTGAAATCAAGAGATTTTTTGCTTAATGAAATCTGTTCTTCAAAGTTAGATCTTTAAACAATTTTCTTTGTTAACACGAATAGTTTTCACAAAATTTAACACAACAGAGACTATTTAAAACAATATGTAAATATGATTTTCTCAAAATTTGAGCCCAATTTTTTCATCAAATTTTTTTGCCAAGTAGAGAAAAGTTTAGAGAAAAATTCCAATTTCTTATTGATATATTAGGAACTTTGGCATAGCTAACTACTACTTGTCGAACAATGGATCAGAGCATTGATTGCAGTCTTTATGCGCTGCAGATCAAATCCCAGCCTCAACAAATAATTTTGCAAATTAGAATCACAGGTTCATCTAGAATTATAACATTACATAACCGTTACAAATACAAGAAAGTATGTGCAGTTTCAACACTACTATTTTATTAATATTATTCACCAGAAAATGATTATCTCTTTATAATAATACATTATAATCCATTTATTTGTTTTAATTCATTTAATAGTAGATATTTTTTAGCAAAATCATTAAAATAATTTGATTAATATTAGTCCTACTTTTTATTGGAAATACTCAATGAAGAAAATTAACCAAAATAAAATTAAAAGTTTTAAGCAAAAACAAAAATAAATTCTCACAGCCCTCAGTCCAAAATGTACATACCTAAGGATCCAGGTTTACTCAGGGTCTTACTAGCATGAGGTGTAATTGACTTCACAGTATCTGACTGGCTTCTGTAAAATTTAGCAGTAACTGCTGTTACAGCCCAACCTGCCCATGTTGCAGCAGCACTTGATAAACTTGGAGTAGTTGTATGGACATCAGCCTCTGAAAGTTAATAATTACATTTTGTGGAAGTAATCAGTATGACAAGTTCCATCAGATTAAGGTGTTCAAATTTTACTTATTCATAACTTCTAATGGAATTCTGACATAGACTCCAAATCAAGTCAAATCATTGTTTGCACAACTATTTTAATTATATAACTCACTTTTTTAGAAGTTTTGCACAACTTATTTCAATATTGAAATTTGCATATTAAGTAAACTGAATTTGTCTTTTATAAATATCTGCTTAGTGGTCATTTAATTATTTTAATATTATTCTTTACAAGCACTGATATGATTTCCTTTAATCAAATAAGAAACTGAATTTTCAAATAAACAATACAAATATAATATCAAATATATAATACAAATATTAACAGGGGCACCTAGAAGAAAGACGCCTGGGTAATTACATCAACTGGGGGCCCCTATTTCAAATACCCCTCCACTTTTTTCTCTCCTACTGTACCTAGATGAATGCCCTTCCTTATTAAATATCTCATTGCAAAAAATGTATTCACATGATTAATGGTTAAAAACCAACTTAAATTATTTTGAGACACCATCAAAATGATATAAAAATGAAATTAAAAATATTTTGACTTTCATACAACATTTACAACAATGGATTCCTAAATTACTTTTATATTCTTACTTTGAGGGCAATAAAATATAAAAAGAAGAACAAAGCATACTAATAACAAATATTGAGAATGCTTCTTTAAAAAAATACCCATTGATTCACGAAGACTAGGATCTTCAGACACTTTCTCAAGCTTGCCAAGAAAACCCTTTATAGTTCGAAATGCATTATCTCGAACAGACTTCTCTGGATCTACAGTGAGCTGACATAGTGCTGGCAAAATACGCTGAGCAACTTCAGAGAGAAGGAAGTACTGTTGTGTAGCTGCTAATGCCAAAACACCTAAAAATTAAGAAAATAAGATAAGAAAACAATGCATTAAAATGATTATTGAATATTCTATCCATGTGTTACCTGCGCTTCTTGCAGGTGGAAATGGATCCCTCATTGCACGAATAAAAGCAGAAATAAGTACTTTCTGTCTTATTTGAGGATGTAGATGCTGAGCAATTTTCCCCAGACAGACAGTAGTATTTGTCCGAATACCTCCCTGAAAGAAAAAACCCAATTATTAAATGTGAAATACTCCTCAAAATTCTACATCACATTAATGTAGAAGCTTTGTTACCTGATCATCTTTTGATTGCAGTCTTGCAAAATGTCGCAGAACTTCGACATTTAAATTATTATAATTGAGTTTTGAAGCAAGATGCATCACAGACTGGAATGAACATACAAATTTAAAATAAGCAATGTTTTTAATAACATTTCACTTTAATATTTTTTAATTACATTACAAAAAAATGGTCACCATATACCTTCACAGTCTGCTCTCTAATGGTAGGATTGGTATCCATAAATCCATTTGCCACTTGTGGGAAAATTTGATCATTGACAACGGATGCTTGTAAATGACCTGAACACACACACAAAAAGAATAATAAAATAAAATAAAATGCAAATCCTAGTTAAGAGAAAGAATATAAACAAATAATTCAAAATTGTAACGCACCTATGAAGTACTCAAGTTGCTGGAGCAAACGTATTCGTGTAGCCCTGTCATTTGAGGTAAATAGTTTCACGACACATGGAACAATCTTTTTCTGATATTCTACTTCATTCAAAAGACGTCCCAACTAAAATATTTTTGAAAGTAATGAATTTAAAATATTAAGCAAATAATAAAAATAGATCTTTAGCAGTAAAACATGCCAAATTCCACAAGAATTATGCATTTAAACACGAGATGACAACAATGTGTTACCTTGAACATCGGCATTAGAACAGCAGAGCCTGCATCACCATACTCATAGGCAGTGATAAGTTGGGGCAATATTTTGTACTGACACACATTTTCTGGAAAGTTATCCAATTGAGGTGTTAAAGCGCTAAAAAATCTGTTCTTCTCACTTCTATCTTTAATCTGTATTTCTTCCAGAAAGAGGAGAGTATCAACTAAGTCATTCTTGAAATATCCTCCAATTTTTCGACATCGTGTTATGATATCGGCAGGATTGGGTCGAGACGAAGGGTTTGCACCAACCAATTCACAATAGACAGAGCTCAATTGCTTTGGTATCTGAAAATTTAACACATCTCAACATTAAATGATCAATAAGAATTTTGAGTTACAAAATTATACCAAAGTTCTTACGTTATTCAAATCTTTCAATGCCGATTGCTGAGGTAAAGGTCCATTAAAGGTTTCCCATATGAGACACCCAAGACCCCACATGTCTGTAGAACTGTAATGAAAATATACATTATACACAATATACCCTTCAATAGTGTACCCCTCAAATATTAAAATGTCTACAAATCAAATTAGCTTTCAATGGAAGCCCAAAATGAGTATGAAAAAAATTAGAAAGCAGTTTCAAAAACCAGCTAATTTAAATTTTGCATCCTACACGTTTTATATGAAAAATTATGATTTCCTTGTTGCAATGAATGTAGTTCTCACACAAAAGTTAATGAGTCACTTAAAAAAGACAAAACACAAATTATAAAATGAAAGTTTATGTTAGTAATGAATAATTTTCATACTTTCAATCAATCTTAAAAACATAATTTAAAACTCCAAAAGTTGTTTAGGGGTTAAAGAAAGGTTTGCTAACTACATACACTACAACTATATACTACAGAACACCCAACACAATATTATACTGCATTATGCACATTAATTTGTTTTGTATCAAAAGTAAAGCAAAAATATAAAACATGACATATTAAGCAAAGAAATGTTTATTTCACTATCTTAAGATTGTCTTTGGGTTTTATAATTAAATTTTTTGTCCAGTTTTATTTTAGACTCATATTGTACACAATGAAAACCAAAACATTAATAAAATTAAGTTAATTTAACAGTATATTTCAATAAAATACATGATGGTCTAAAACAAAAATGGACAAAAAATCAAATGAAAGAAATGTGTTACTTTAATCCTGGTGATTCTTATCAGCATTTTACACTGATAAAAAAGATTGCATTGTTTCGATATACATCATCACAAGAGGTTGACAGTGGAAGATCCAGAGGGTGCCATATGGCTCATGCACCTTCCCATGAAATTAAAGTATTTCAAGAGGAGGTGCATGAGAATACATCTAATGACACCATTTGTCCAATATTGATTTTTTATAAAAGAAAATATATAAGTATATTTAGATCATTCTTTAAAACACTATACAATCACAAAACAACTATTGCTTTATTTTTTCAACACAATAACAAAATTCATATTTTTCTTTTTGAATATTACTTTTTCAAATTTACTTTCTTTCAATGTATTACACATGTTGATTGCAACTTTTTCTGCTTGTATAAATGCTGTATTTCCATAAATGAAACAGAAATGAATTTTGATTTCTTTTCTTCAACCAATATGAGAATGATGAAAATTTACCAGCAATTTACACCCACTAAAATTAATCTGAGCAGTAGAACATCAATAATCTGAATCCTTCCTTAATGATGAAATCCTTCCAAGTTATCAAATTATATGGATTTTCAAAATGAACCAATAAGAAGAGCTGGCTGACCTCCACAAACTTGGAAACTTACTAAAATCTTCCATAATTCTGATAATTACAAGCAAAAGTCATTGGCCACGGAAAAAATTAAGGTGTCTAATCTGCAGTTTCTGGGAAATTTCCCCTGGATCCGTTCTACATAATACATGCATATGATATATACTTATTCTGTTGTCAATAATCATTCTTATTTAAATTGTAAAAATATCATAAAATTAAAATAATCTTATTTATAGCTTATTTTGAATTATGTATATAATAATTTTCTGCAATCAAGACAGTTCTTAGAAATAAGAAAGAGACAACACTATTTCTAAGAGAGCATAATAATCAGTGTTAATGTTATTCGATTATCATACATATGAATATTACAATATTTCCTCGCCAGGACCCAAATTTTGTTGAGGTTACAGTGTAATTCATGTTAAGTGAGTTTGTGCTAATGAGAGTTTACTGTAGTTTTAATAAAATTATAAAGTAGTCGCTTTTAAACAAATATGTACATACATACAGTTTTCACTTCATGCAATTATTTTTTCCACAGAATCAAATCCGGATTACCAACGATCCAGATTTTTGACATCCAAATTATTGCCATTCTACTGTAGTGTAATATTTGGTAATGTTTATCAATGTTTCTCTAGAAAAAAAGTTTCTGAAAGTGATGATGCATCAGCATCATTTAAACAAGAGCCAGTTCTTAACACAAGCCATGCAATGTATTGGTAACAATAAAATGGACAGTTGTCAATACTGGCAATGAATAAGAAAAAAATCACAAGAGAAGTTGAGTTGTTAAGAAATCTCTACAAAACAAGTAACTTTAATAACACAATGCTTTCACAAAACGAAATGTGTAGCAAAGACAGTACGTCAAATCGGGTTGATTCTTACATATGGCAGAAATATTGGTCCTCATTTAAAAATTGCTTCATTTCTTAATATATTTGCAATCTTAAAATTTAATGCTGGGCAAGAAGAGAGTACTTTTAACCTAAATGAAAATGAGACTAGCTCATTTTATACAATTCAACTACAATATTATCATTAACTTATTTTCTACATGAAGAATCTTTTCAATAGTTTGTCATCCTTATTTAATACAATAAGTTTCCCTTCTTTCAAAAATAAAAAATAAAAGACTTTGGTCACTAATTTTTCTACTTCTCTTATGAAGAAATATTACATGCATAATAATAATAATAATATACTGTATAACACTAATAAATATTAAGGGAGAATCAAAGGAATCCATATCTACCATTTGGTGATGAGTCTCTGACGACCAGGATCTGCTTTCTCTGGAGGATCGTACTTTTCAAGTGATGGCAAGATTTTAATAGGAAGACCCGTTCCTTCACTAGCTCCAGCAACATATTCCACACCCCCAAGTTTCCATTCACCAGCACCATTGACAAACACTGATGACAAGCATACATTGTTATGCCGAAGGTTACCATCGTTGTTTAAAAAGCTTAATGCTCTCTGGAATATTTAATTCAACATAAACCACAAAAAGAAAAAATAGTATCGTACTTGCAAGGAACTTTTTTTAAGACAATACTCACAGTTATTTGAAATATGCCCCATGCCAAATATAACTCACGCTGATGACCTTCTTTTCCATCTTTAGATAATTCACCTAAATATGTATGAAGTGGTACCACATATTCTGTAGCTAGATAAATAACTTTCTCAGTCTTGAAAAAAAAAATTTAATGGGTATTAAAACAAAACATCAGAATTGAAAATAAATATTATCACCAAAAACTGAACATAAAAAGTAAAATCTTGCCAACAAGAAATGACAAACATTTATGAAAAAAAGCAAATGAATAGTAGTATATGATAAGTTAAATTTACAGTAGTTTTTTATCTGTGATAAACAATCAACCTTTTTGTCTTTTTCCTCTTTTTTCGTTATTTTAATACATGACAGTAGCAACACATCTATTCTGATTGCATGTTGAATTAATATTTACATCATAAAGTATAATAAAAATGAAGACTTAATAGATCCATAAAAAAACATAATTATTAGCTATGTACCTCTAAACTATCCAGGTAAGTAAGAATACTAGGATGACGTAAAGTCTTCAAACGTTTCACAGCTGCCTTAGCAATATCAAACTGAGTCTCGCTTCCAGTTCTTACATCAAAAACAAACACTGACACATCTTCACCACTTCCCTGCAAAGATAAACAGTTTATTCATATAATAAATTTTTCATTAATTCTTATTGCCTTAAAAATAACTTCAGAGAAATCTATTTTTCTCATTTAACCCACAGTAATTAAAGTGAAAGACTTAAACAAAACCACAAACTAAAATGTTAACATTTTGGATAAAAACTTCATTCAAAACTCTCTGAATATTATTAATATATTATGATGTGTCAACCTGTTAATGTCATTAGAAATAAATAAACAATTCATGGACATTGCAAACTGCAAGGAATCTTATATGAAATGTCATGTAATGACAACTGACAACTGGACATTCATTAGGAAGAATGTACTAATGCAAAAAGCATTTAATAGAATAATTTAGCGACATGTATATATGTTTAATACGTGTCAGGCACATTTTACAAGTGTCATGTGCAATCACATTATTAATTACCTTCTTCTTTCCTTGGTGTAAACTCCACACACTTTTGTCTTCTAACCCTTGAACAGGCTCTGAAATTTCGTAAGGGAAATCCTTGGAAGGATCCCGCGCAAATAACGACCACATTATGAGAAACAGAGAAAAAATGAACTCATGATTTCAACTTCACAAACCGCATACGTAGCATTGAAACCCACTATCGTCCGCCCGTACACATCCACATATCTCAAGGGAGGTAGGCATAAACCACACTAGCGCGAGTGAGACAGCTGCAAACTTCATCTGTGAAGTATACTCTGTTTCAAACCCTTTGACTTTACGTCTGGAAAATTATTGAGATGCAAAATTTATAGCTGTGGGTGTAATATGTTAGAATACACGATTAAATTGACGAACAACCTACTGCAAACATCAGTAATGAAGAAAGTTAACAAAATTATAATTTAAACTTAATCTTCCGAAGGCAACTTTTCATAGATGGATAGCTTTGTTTCTGAAAGAAAGTTTTTTTATACCTATGGAAGAACAGTTTACATACAATTAAAGAGTTATAAATTAATATAATATAACTTATTTTAATAATAAAATTATTATTAATTATTATTATTATTATTATTATTATTATTATTATTATTATTATTATCATTATTATTATTATTATTATTATTTTATGTTTATGTCAACGTTACGTGGATTAGAGATAAATAAGTTTTGTTTTTTTTCATTTCTTTTGAATAAAAAATAATTGGGGCCCCAATTATGTCCGGACCTGGGGCAAGTTGCCTCAGATATCCCCCTTCTGGACGCCTCTGCGGTAAGTTGGCGTACATAAAAGAGCATAGTCCTTGAACACACTGGCAGAAAAAAGAATTGGAACATTCCGAATGCATTGTACAATTTATTCCTCCATCAAGATACAGCACAAACAGAATACTATAGCGCGGCTTTTCTAACTCTGCCCCTCAAGGCCCTACTTCACGGTGGTATAATGTCAAAATATTTCGCGTTTTTTCTTGGTCATGCCGCTAGATGTAGCATGATCGCGACCGTATATTAAATTAAAATAGGGATGGCGTGCAAGTTGGCCTAGCAGCGTCCTCCTTTGTGCACGCGCGGAATCACGGGAAGGGCAATGACGGAAATCCCCCCCTAACATTTTTCAGTAACTGTTAATTTTAACTTGTCACGAAACTTTCAAGCAAAAATATTTTCGGATAATCATTAATACAAATAAAATCTATCGCAGCATGAGCAGAGGGTAGCCTGCGACATTTTACAAAATCTGTAATATAACACATTCGATCAAAACATTTTGAATTACCGCTCCTAAAGTGTATCTCTGGATCCGCCCCTTCTTTGTGTGAAAGGTCAGGTCAGTGTTACGCCACACTCAGTCGGTGTAGATCCGTCAAACGACGTGGAAACATGCAAGCAAGTGCCGGAATGTCCCGTCGTCGCCAAAGAATGCAATATCAGCATCTGAGTGAGATCGAAGGGGATAAATGATTTATCTCCGAGAAGCTCTTTTTCGTACCGAGACATTGGGCTCGAACAGGGCGTGCTACTAAGACAGTGATGCATGTGTGTATCCAATGGACAGAGGAGTCGTACACAATGGCGAGCGGATACTGGGCTAAACACCGTGACAGCGCGAGATGACCGCCGTCTTGTCCGTATTGCCGTAACCGATAGAACGGCGTCATCCACAGTGTTGGCTCGACTGTGGTCATGTCTGCAGCGACGGTTCGACGCTGTCTGCTTAGGGCTGGACTGGTGGCACGCGTACTTCTGCGTCGGATTCCGCTGACCAGAAACCACTAACGTCTCATTCAGCAATGGACACGTGAATGTGTTCACTGGTGTGCTGAGTGGCAAAATGTGTGCTTTCAGACGAGTCCCTGTTCAATTTGTGTTACAGCGATGGCCACTCACGATCTCAACGCTACCGTGGTGATCGCAACCTGTCAGCCTGCATTGTTCTGCGCCATGATGGTCAAACTCCTAGTGTGATGGTTTGGGGCGCCATTGACTACAATGCTACATTGCCTCATACATAATGAGGGCAATCTGAAAAACAACCCTTTCATCAAGGATGTTTTAGAGGTTTCAGCAGGATAATGCCCGGCCGCATGTGGTAAGGAATGTGCAAGCTTTCTCCGAAGAAAGACGGGTACCAGTGTTCCGAAGGAATGACGTATATGTGCACTCCACTATAATAGGAGTGAATACATGATCTGCAGAATTGATTTGAACATGATGTTCACAAAGAACTAACCTTCAACCTATCTCCTAACAAAAGAGAGCTCATGAAAACTTGTGCGAAAGTGAAGTTGTACATGTACAAGCAAAGGATCATCTCAGCATTTGCTCACAGGATCAAGGGAATCATAGACGGATTTCTACTTAACACAAGCCTCTCAGGACATGGGTGTTTCAAGAGCTACCTTCATCGGTTTAAGAAGATAGACAATGGAAACGATGGAAACTGTGACTTCTGAAAAGTAAAGGACGACGCAGAACATGTCATATTCTATTGCAGATATTTCTAGTAAGAGAGAGAAACGATTACTACAGCTATAGGCAAAGAGTTAACACTAGAAAATGTGATACCAGAAATGTTAAAAGACGAACATAAATAGGACATTATTACACAAATGATTAGAGAAATTATGAACAAGAAAAAAACAGCCGTTAGAGTATTGAAGGAAGAAAAAAACTAAGATCTAAAAACCTTCCTGGCAAGAAGTTTAAGCTCAGATGCGATACCTTGCTAGGCACTAATGATTAATAATAATAATAATAATAATAATAATAATAATAATAATAATAATAATAATAATGAGGGATCGTGCGCGTTTTACGCTGAAGTTGGCTGCGCTGGCCGGCGGATGGCGGCAGTGACGGCTGAAGGTCGGCTGCAAGCAGCGAGCAGTGCGAGCGGTGGTCAGTCGCGCAGTTGAGCCGAGTCGAATAGAATGCCGTATGACGTGTGGTCTTGGGGGATGAATGATGGAGTAATGCTGATGTGGAAAATATTGTATGAATGAGAAGCTGACCATACACGTATGAAAATCAACGTACCTTTCACGGGACGCAAACTCTTTTCAGTTATCCTGGCCCTCAGGCCCTTCGGCACCGAGCACTATTCAGACGATGCTTCAGTTACTGTTTAATTAGTGTTTCCGGGGGTGTCCACTGGTAAAGTTATTAGTATCATAAATACAGTGAATGTTGTTTTATATCGCGAGAGGTGGCGATGGTCTTCCTTCGCTGGGTGGCGAGATCTGGCATCGACCAACACGTCGGCTTGCGGGATTTTCCCTACAGGTCGTTCCTACCAGCAAGGCACCCCAGGCAGGACAAGCTCTAACATTCCGACTGGTCTCCCAACGTGTGGCAGTGTAGTCCTCCAGAAAGCGTTTGAAGCCATGCAGCTAATGTCGCAAATCCTACCACAGCCGGGCCAGGAACCCCAGGACCTGGTCAAATGCATTTCAGTCAATTGATGTCCTGAGCCATCTACTTTGTTACGACGCTCCAAGCTCCAGCACCGCCAAGGTTAATATATGAAATAAAATGAACGTATATCCAAAAAAATAATCATATATTCACGTTAAATTTATGAAATACAACCACATACAAGTCTTCAATAACATTGTGTCAATAAGACACAGGGTCAGCTAAATATACATCATGCTTGAACCTTTCTCAGTGAATACGAAGCGTTTTCAGGATTTAGAACATTAAAATCTACGGAAAGAGATAAGTTAAATTTATTTGAACTGCAAATGGGCGTAACCCGATGACAGCTAATTACATAAATAAGATAATATAGCTAAAATGAAAATTATATAATAATAATTATAATAATAGAAACAATTATAACAGCTGATAAAACAACAATAATAACAATAAAATAACATTAATAATAAAAATAATATCAAAACTGTCTAAATGGCCATATTTCCTTTTCTTGAAGACGTCGATCACCCTTGGGTCAAAGTAAAGCACCTATACGAATAATTTTAGACCTTTCAAAAGCATTTGACTTTCAAAATAACCTTCGTAAGGAATTCGTGGTATTGCTGTAGATTGGTTACGTTCGTACCAGTGCCAGATTTACTGAGGTGGTGACCTCTGGACAAAAAATCTTCCAGTTTCAATCAGTATTCCACAGATTGCGGACAAAATTATATTTGTTTTTCAAAATATATTAGATAAGTGCAACGTTATTCACATTCGGAATTAATTCCGTGTATTTCGGGCAAAAAGTATTGCCGTCCGACGGGAACCTTGAAAGGTGCGCTGCATATTTTCGGAGGCAGGCTAACGCGAAAAAATGGCGTATGATGGCCATCGTTAGCGTGTCTAATTTGCATCATCCGCACCACAAAGAGGGGCTTCGCCACGAGACTGGCTGTGCGCCGCCGACCGACTTCTCTACCTGGGACGCGCGATGCTTCCAGTTCCTGACGGGCATGTGCCTTTGTCGACACAGAGGCGCCACCTGGAGCACGCATCCCAGGCAACACTCTCGTACGTGCAATTTGTCAAGGCAAAGTACCTCTCGTCGAGGCAACTCGCCGGTCCACATAATATAATCGCGCGTTCTGTCCTTAGCCTTTTAGTCACGAATGGGAATCCTGATTCTCGCTGTTTTAGCTAAGTGGTAACGAGTATAAATGGAAAATGTCTTCGACTGTTCTCCAGAGGCGAGTGACAGCTCATATCTTTCTTACTCCGCTTGACAAGGTGACTTCCATGAATTGGAGTGTGGCCGACGCAACCGGAAACAGTGTCTCTAGGACTGAGTAAGGTCTGTCTAAGTGCCAAGCGAGTGATAGTGGGCCGCTGTGAAATTTCTTGCAATTACTGAGTGTTCGAAGTAAATAAATAGGGCATGAACCGCTTACTTGCACCTGGAGACAGCACGGTTAAAAAGTACTTGAGAAGATAAAAAAGTAACTAAAAAGAATAAGAAGAAAAGAAAAAGAATATAATAAAAAGAAAAGGCAAATGAGGCTTGAGACATATTTTGTGAAATTATATGTCTTATATGAAATCGTATTCTTTGTGATATCACAGAATGAAAACGACGATACAGATGTTTCGACGATTTGCCGCTCTGAATTCAACGATTTTAAAAACAAATTGTTACTATTAAATTTAATATTTTAATTTTGTGAAAAGCACTTTATGATAAATAACTTATCTTACCTTGTTTATAATTTACATTATTTTTGTGCCTGTATATAATAATTTTTAATTTATAATTTATAACATTTTTGTATACACACACACACACACGGGCGATTCGGCTTTGCCCGGCTGCTTCGTCGGCAGACTTCCTAGAGGGAGGTATGCGTGATTGCCTAACTACTGGATAGAAAGACAGGCATTTTCTTAACATTACTTTAATCAATATTGGATTCAACTGCGGGTGAAGCCCAATGCCAGAACAAAACTTATAATTAACTTACAACTAATCTTAACTTAAAAAAGGCCGGCATGGCCAGAGTTCGTATCAGCTCCGTGGTTTTCGCCCTTCCGGGCGGTCGTGACCCAGCTTAAAGGGGCGGCGTTCGAACATCCCAGCGCCCGGCAGGTCTGGCGGCGGGCAGCCACGGTCGGTGCTTGCCCCAGGTTCCTTTGTGGCGACCACTCGGCGGCCGCGGTGGCGGCACACAGTCACCGGATTAGGCTAGCGGCGACCGGACGGCGCCTTGGCGTCGCTCAGCGCGGGCATGCGACAGAGCCGCGCCCGGGTGGGTGGCTTCGTGGTCGTGTCTTTCACGCCCCGGCTCGTACTCACTTTTCTCTAGCGGCCAGGCAGTCACATGTGGTGTCCCGTCCCATATTTCGGCTTCCATCACGCGAGTCGGACTGCGATAGTTGTGAGGCGGCATTCGGGGCGACCAGGCACGGATAGCCCCGACTCCGAATCAAAGTAACAAGTGCTCTCCCCGCTACTCCAAAATAAGTGCTCTCCTTGCGGCTTCCGAAACAAGTGATCTCGCTGCTGCCTCCAAAACAAGTGTTCTCCCTGTTGCCTCCGAAACAAGTGGACGATTCTCCCTTCGGCGATCGCTCAGGAAAAGCTCGTGTGCCACGTGGTTCCTCCCCGGGTCTCACATCGCAATTGGTCGTCGTAGCCCCCGTGGTTCCTTCGTCCTATCACGGTGTCCGCGGCAAAGCTGCGCTCATGCAACTTTTTATTCCGAAGTAACCTCCGTCATGTAAATTTCAAGAACTGGGTGCGGGTAATTCCGTCGCTCGGTTTGGGGTGCAGGAGGCGTATTTCCCCATGCGTCACGAGGGTGCGTCCGGCGTGGGTTGCGTTCATATAGGAGGCGCAATCCTCCGTTCCCTCGGCGCGTTAAGCGGCCTTACCAGGTATAGCAAACGGCACGTTTCCTGCTGCCCTTTACGCAGGCGCGCTTCCATCTTAAATTTAATATTTAATTCGNNNTATATATATATACACATACACACATGCACACTCACAGGGTGATTCAGTCCTAATTGGCCGGGTCCTTATCCCATAAGTAATATACATACTGAATTTATCAAGATGGGATACTCTTCGTCGTTTAGTTTTCTAAATTATTATTATTAAGTTAAACTTTGGACTATGCTCTCGTATAACACGGCACCTGGGCTACGGTTTTACCTCACGCCCCTTATCTGGAAAACTCATTTGCTAATACTATCCGAGAAGCCCCGGAAGCGAGCACAAGGCAGAAAGCGTGAGAGGTGAAAGCATCACAGTCCGTCGTCTGGCGAACAATTCATGCGGAGATAACAACTTTTCAATTTCCAGCGGGTGCAGCATTTGCGCAGTAGACATAACGTCGTATTCAATTCTCTAGGCATTTCCTGCGCAATGCAAATAAAACTAGAAATTACATTCTGTGGTCAGGAGAAGCGTGTTTTACAAGAACTGGCCAAATCAACGTGCACCATTTGTATGTGGCGGCCGAGGAAATCCACATGTTGCTTTTAGTGTAGCTCGCCAGTGATCCTCTGTACATGTGGCATTGTGAATGAATTTATTTTCGGTCTTCACTTTTTACCCGAGCGTTTCAGGGGCGTTCAGTCTCTGAATTTTATAACTCAGGTATTCCCAACGCTTTTGGAACTGGGGGTTCATGAAAGACTGCGTTTATGTTACCGAAGTTGAGAACCGTGAAGCATTCTTCAGAGCATTGAAAGCGTGGAGGCAGAAAGGTAGTACAACTCGGCAAAGTGGCGTGCGTCACGGAGGCTACATGGCATAGATGCCTACCTCGCAGGAATAGGCCATTTTGAACACTTGTAGAGCCCCTGGTACACGATGTGAAAGTGAGCATTTTTGGCTATACACGTAAATACGATACACTCTTTTAAATAACCCTTAAATAATATTTATTTATCTTTCCTTTCATATTCGTTCGTTAGATAAGTATACTGTAATAGCAACAGGGAATTAATGTAATATTTCGGCTACCTTTCTTGCAAAAAATGGCCAAAAAACAAAACAAAACAAATCTCAGCTCGGGATCCACCCCTGGATAAATGATATTATACGGTAGATAATTATTTTTAATAGCAAAATAATTTAACATTTCAAGATTTGTACCGTTTCATGTTTAAAGTAAAAGTAAAATTTACTTGTTAGTCATTTTACTAATACTTCTTATCATAATAATAATAATAATAATAATAATAATAATAATAATAATAATAATAATAATATTATGATAAAACTACATATAATTTAACAATATTAGTACATTCTATGTTTAAATCATGAAATAGGAGTAGGAGGCAGGTTTTGGCCATGCTTTTTTCCATATCTACACCTAGACCTACTGCAGCACCTAATGCATCTAGCAAATCTAGGGTGAAGAAAATATAAATTTTTGTCAGGCACTCTCTTGTAGAACATGTTGCTACGCAGGAAAGCTTTCAATATATTTCTAAATGTATGAATTGTGTTCATGTCTTTAATAACTGATATTGAAGTACTGGAGGAAAGGACTGATTTATTAACCGTAACATAACAATAAAAATTTAATGAAAGCCGTATCAGAATAGAGAGCCATATAGAAACATCATCAAGCACTTTTAATAATGATAATCTGGCCAGGTAGCACACGCGCTGCAGGCATCGTTTTCGTCGAGGAAGTTGTAGGTTGGAGTTCTGGCCCGGGGGTGGTTGTACTTGTTATTGTCCCTTCACCCCTCCTCGAACCTTGGTTGTTATATGTGGATACATTTTAATTACTACAGCACAACAAATGTTCCTGTCCTAAACTTTATTTACACAGGACATATATTACTATTAAATAAAGAAAACATAAAAATAGTATGAAATTATAACTTTCAATACTAGAAGTAAACACACATTTTTTATTTTTACGATATCAATATATAATTTTATGTTAAAGCATTCACAGGTTGCCGGATAGCTTGAAGAGCCTCCATCAAATATCATACAACAATTTTCCACGGTAAAGAAGTGGTTCTACAATAGCACATACTTTTTTGCATTACACTGGTCAACACACATTTTCTTGCCAAGCAAGTTAAAGCCATTTAGGGGTATGTTTGATGTAGAGATTCCAAATATGACATTGTTTTTTTGTAGTTTGGCTCTAGTCTTTGAGATAATGAAAATTGTTTTGTAACAAAAGAAGATATATTAATAAGATGACGCGCAATCCAAGTATCCTGAAAATAATACAATATTTAATGTTTAAAATGAAAAACAACAGAGTTTATATAAAGATAGATATCGATGTTAAATGCTGCGAGTTTTGTGATAGTATCATTCATTATGTTTGTAGCTATCACATCTGTTACGTTTGTTACATTAGAGCCAATTCTATGAAACTAATGACATATTGGGATTCAGCATACCCATTTTACTGAAAATTCGTTGCAAAATTCTGGACACGTGAAAAAGACTTTTTTTCCATTGAGCAGTGTTATTTATAATGACTTTGCATTATTATACTGCTACATGAACCTACAAAAATGTTTTTGCTGCAATGAAATTCGAGCTCAGGTCTTTCAAGTTAACATGCCAGACACATTTCTGCGCATTCACCAGTGCATAGCTAAATAACTTTCCCAATGCTCAAAAAAGTAGTGGTATCTTGCATCATACCTGACGCATTTTGTGTGCTCTTTGCTCTAGCTACAAAAAGTTTTTAAATTTAAAAATAAAAAAAAATTCCATTAATTTCAAAGCATATTATGCAAAAAGATCTTTCTTTCCCAAAAAAATTAAGAGACCTTGTTTAGTGATCTAATTTTTTTAGAACAGATTTTATTCAAGAAAAAAATCTTTCACCATAATTGCAATTTTGCAATGTTAATGTTTTGCAATTTTCAACCCCACTGGGTTAATGTTTATGCTGGCTGGATTATTTTGTGAAAGTGAACTTTCACATCTAGACCCCATGCGACTGTCATTTAGAAATTCAATCTCATGCCAACATATGTTATAATATCCCACGAGTTCTCAGTTTGTTTTTACAGCATTTTAATTAAGATTTTGGGTTAAGAAAAAAAACTTCAACTTTTTAATATATTAACAGCCATCCTATTAATAATATTAGAAATGAATTCATATTACTATTTTCTCCTTATTTTGAGTCCCCATCACTTATAGAATCAAGACAAACCTTTAGCACACATTGGACAAAAGTACCTTCAGTGAGCCCCTTTAAAAGTTGTCTTTTACTATGCACCAACACATTTTTCATTTTCACCACACTTGGTGAAGAGACAAATTACAAACATCATCTCCAGTTCACTGGTGAAGTACTCTCAATGAAGTTCATGTGTCAGACAGCAAGTGCTTGATATTAAATGTACAAAAACTACACAAACACTCATTTCCTGAAACAAATTTTCACAACTTTTCCTGTTTCTTCAGAGCATTTAAAAAAAAATTCATTGGTAAAATTTGTTAATTTCATACCATTTACAGAAATATTAAAGCAAACTTGAAAGTAACATGCCAGCTCCCTGATTTCACCGTGATAATGTACCAATTTTATAAATACACAAATAGAAACTGAGCATAATGAGAGGCTGTATTGTTTATTTAGGAACATAATCTACGGTTATAACTATCTCAAAACTTTCCCTGTCTTCTAACGTTCTTCCACAAATTCCCTGATTTTCCCCTGGCTTTTCCAGAGCAATGAAATTCCTGTTTTCCCTCCCAGATTTCTGTTTTACATAAAGTGGCCACCCTGACCAACTTTGACACTGAAAAAGAGAAAAATAAAAACAGCAGGAAAAATGTAGAAACTGAATATGAAAAGGAAAAGTATATTGAGACAAAAACTGAAAGGCCAAAAGGAAATTTATTTCAACTTTGTAAAATGACAGAACTGCATGTTACATAAAACAAAAATTTATAATATCATAGCAATGAATTTTATGGAACAAAGCAATTTCAATAACTGCGACCGAACAAAGTATAATACTTAGGTTTGTTCTTGCATGATGGGAAGATGCATTTATCAGATGGGGTGATGGCAGCAGGTTGTTCAAAGGGGATGCACAAACCTTTGGCCCCCATTGATGGAGCACCAGGTTCAGCATCATCATTCCTACAGGACATAATAAAAATATACACATATTGATAAAAGTTCAGTTACACTTGCAATTCACAAGAAGCATGACATGTGAAGATTCACTAATGGAAATCATATCTGCTTTCTCTTTAGTAGTGTTTTCAAAAAATGCTGGCCAAAATTTATGCGTCATATGTTGTTGCAAATGGATATTCGAGAGGTTGCATGATAGATACCAATGCCCCCAACATTTTTGGTCATGAAGCTGTATAAGAATTCAAGTCAATTTGAATATCATTAGTGTGCAAATGGAATGGCCAGTGATGAAAATAAAATGAACTTAGAGCAATCACCTCTCTGATTTCAGCTGGTATCTTTTGAAACATTTTGTTTATTTTTATTTATTAAATCATCAGGCCAAAAATAAATATATCTACTACTGGTTGTATCAGTTCTAGAAAATAAACACATCACAATGATACAGACTGAATTTATTAAATGGATAAGAAAGTAACAAATCCTTGATTATGATTTTTGACAAATGTATCATAGAATTTTGGCTGTCTGGGAGTCACAGACAAGATATTCTAGCTGTAGGAGTCTACTGCTTCACGTAAATAACAGCTAAACTTACCTAGCACTATCCTTCTTTATTTGCTCCTCGCATTTAATATCTCCACAGAAAGGAGACAAAATAATATTCTTTTCATCGAGCTTCTGGCAGAATTCATCCCATTTGGTACTTAGTACAGTATGTGAAGTCAACTCCTTTTGAGCACTGTAAAAGAATATAATAAAATTATCAATGCACATAATATTTTTTGTGTAATATTGCAGACACTTAAAAGTTCTTATGTTTTATTTATTAAACCCTATTAGTGTTTGTTCATACCAACAAGATTATAAAATAAATTTTGCAATTTGATTGTAAAGTACTGAAGTTTAGTTCTCAGGGTGGCCACTCATTTCCAGGAACAAATTTCCCAGACTTTCCCAGTTTTCCAGGGCATTTTTAATTTTTTTGTTTTTTTACATATGTAATTTCTCACTACTTTAGAAGAAAAAATTGAAGTTTAAAGAAAACATTAAATCTATCCTAATACTATGCGGTTAGCTCTCTCATTTTGCTGTACTAATTAACAATATTTCCTCAACAAATAAAAAATTAGCAAAAAATAATGCTCTACTAATGTTTCCAAGAAATAATACCTAGTTTTATAACCCTCTCAAATTTTTCCCAATCTTCTTAATATTCTTCAACAAATTCCCTTTAATTTCTCGTTATTAACCCTTTGCAATTTGTTTTTGACTTTCATATTCCAGTTTTTTTGAGATGTACAATATGGTTTGTAGCATCTATCATGTTGAAATGAATCATCCGCAAAGTTCCAAC